AGGGCACCCTGAGCTCTCAGGTGAATGAATACAACCAGGAGGGGCTGCAGGCACCATCCATGCAGAGGGCACCCTGAGCTCTCAGGTGAATGAATGTACCCATGAGAGGGCTGCAGGCACCACCCTTGGAGAGGGCTCCCGGAGCTCCTTGGGGGCCCGCAGGTCAGCCCGCACGGAGGAGGGGCGCAGTCCCAGCTACTCACACAGGACCCGGATGGCGGAAGGCTCGCGGGCTGCGCTCATGGCGGTGAGGTACCGCGCATAGTTCATGGCTCCGACACCCCAGCGCCGCGATTCCCCTTCAGCTGCTGAGATCTGAGAAGCCCAGGAGTCCCGTCAAGGCCTGCGGGCGGGCGTGCGCGGTGACGGCCGGCAGCCACGCCACCCCCGGGAGCAATTCACAGCGAGTCGGGCTCCGGACCTCGCGCCTGGGAGTCGCCGAAAGAAAGCGTCCTGTTTGGCCCAGGTGCCGGCCTGGGATTATCCAACGGTTTCGTCAGGGGCCGTGGAGGGGCCGGAAGTCCCTCGTGATCCTGATCCTTGGCCGCCATCTGGTGGCGGCTTTGGGCCATTGCAGCAGGCCCCTTAATCTGCGCTGAGCCCGGCGCGGCGTGCTGCGCTCCTACGCCCCCTCTGGTCACGAGGGCGACTGCTCAGTCCCTGCTGGGCTAAGTACTGTCCTTTCACCCATGAAACTGTAGGCCCTACCCTGGAGGGCACCAAGGTGACCCAGATGAATTCAGACCTGACTTTCTCCACGAAATGAGCAGTTTCGGGTGAGCGTAGAGTGCTGACACATTTTTGAAGAATCACTGTGAGAGTCTCCGCAAATGTTGACAGCTACCCTCACCTGGATTTTTCTGAGCTTTCATTATGGAAGACTTAGGTTGAAAGTGTATACCCAAGGAGATGCATCTCCTTGGTTCTAGCACCTTGCCCTCTTTTGTCACAGAATGACCCTCCTCCTCACCTCCACTTTTTCTGGGGTCTTGTTCTCTTTCCCGAGTCGGTGACATGGAATGCACGGGGTCTCCCCACCTGAGCAGGTGATGAGAGATTTTGAGACGATCTCTTTTTTCCTCTTACATGGGTATAAAGGACCCTCTTATTTAAAACAAATTCAGAGCTGGATTCCCTCATTCAGTAAACATTTACTGAGTCCTCCCTGGATGAGTATTGACACACTGCCAAATGGTTCTTTTCTAGATGTAAGCAGATTGGCCAGAGGGACTCTTGTGTTCCTATCTGGATATTTGAACAAGTTACTTAACCTGTATCGGCATCAGTTTCCTCACGGGAGTACTGCCAGATTAAATACGATCTCTATTAAGCTGATTAGCACAGCAGCCTGCACGTTGTAAGAAACGCTTAGTAAATGTTAGCTGTTATCATGAGGGGTGACAGTGCTTTTGGCAAACCTTAAGGACTCAGCCTCCAAATGTTTTTGGCAACTTTAAGGCAAGTGATATTCTTAGTTAATTCATGTACACAATTAAGGATCTTTTTGAGCTTGTTCTAAAAAGGGTTGTCCTTGAAGGTCCCTAGAAATTAGCTCAAGACTCTCTCAAACACATCTATAAAAGCCCTATTGTTGGTACGTTGTTAGGTGTTATCCAGTCGATTGGGACTCATAAAGTGGCCCCATGTGACAGAGTAGAACTGCCCCATAGGATTTTTTGGCTATAATCTTTAGAGGAGAAGATTGCCAGCTTTTTCTCTTGTGGAGCCACTGGGTGGGTGTGAACTGCCAATCTTTCAGTTAGCAGCCTAGTGCTGAACCATTGTGCCAACAGGGCTCCTTAAAAAAAACAAAGGCGTAGACCAAGGTTGATCATGAGGTATAATTAGAAATGTTGATGTACTGGAGATTTTGGCCTTCCCCCCCACCCCCTTCTAACTAGTGTGGTTCTAAGATTCTCAAAACAAGCTTAAACTTCTTCCTTTTGGAAGTAGGAACCTGTTTGAGGGAAGGAGTATGGAACATTCTCAGCCACGAAAATCACTAAAGGACAGCGTTTGCTACCACATTCATGCACAGATCCCTAATTTCTATAATAGTTACTGTACACAGGGATTTTTAAAGATGCAGAACTCATTTCTAATCAGTGGTTACACAATTCAAGGAACCAAAACTAAAGAGACTGAAGGTAATAAAATCTCCGACTCTGGCTCTCAACCCTTAGAAAGTTTGCTCAGTTTCCTAGTTGGCCTGCCCTGGAGTTGGTAGATGAGATCATGGCTGGGGATGGTGATCAGAGCCTGCCTGATGACCGAGGCTGGAAACAGAGGCAGAGAAGTTGCCCATCAAGGCAGACTAATCGAATGCAGGGGCGCATGATGGGGTGTGATTAGGAAGTGCAGGACAGAAAACACGGCAAGACGGTGGGGAAAGGAAGTCCAGGTAAAGTTGGGGAGAGCTTACCTGTCAATCAGAAGCTACAAACTGCAGATAAAGCTGATTGCCAGAAACCAGACCGACTTTGGATGTCAAGTGCAGCAGCAGCAGGAGTTCTGAGGAAGTAAGTAGAATGAGCAGGGTTCACAGCTGAGTGCTGCCTTTTTAAAGACTTGGCTTAGGACTGCCTGAGGTTGGAATTAAGGAGGCCAGATTCTCCGGAGTCGGTACTTCTCTGGGCATTTGTTAAATGCTTACTACATGCTAGCAACTGCAATGAATTTCAAATAACTGAGACAAAACCACCGTTCTTGACGAGTATGTGTTTGTATGTTGAGGGCTTAACGATTTAATGTCGTAGGAAGTACATAGCAGAGGTAGGTACAAGCTGCTAAGAAAAGCAGAGAAGGTGGTGGTTATTTCTAACGGACAGGAGTTCCCGGGTGAATTAGAAACAGAAGCCTCTTTTCCTCTCATCTTCCTCTTAGGATCCTGGTCATGCTCCCAGGCTGAAAGCAAACAAGGTCACACACTGATTGTCATTCTCTACTACTTTCACTTAAAACTTAAACGGCCTTCACGTAAAGACTTGTTCTTCACTTGACAGACTTATCCCAAAGCCTTTTCCACAGTCTGTGAGGAAGTTACGCGTCAGAACACCAGGTCGTTCAGGGAAATTTTACAGAATGTCCTAATTTGTAGGCATTGTGGGCTAGACTGAAGCCCCCGTGGCGCCTTAGTTAAGAGCTCGGCTGCTAACCAAAGGGTTGGCAGTTCAAATCCACCAGCCGCTCCTTGGAAGCCCCATAGGCAGTTCTACTCTGTCGTATAGGGTCACTGTGAGTTGAAGTTGACACCAACGGTTACAGGGGCTACACTGGTGAGACTAGTTTTGGGTGAATGGCGATGGAAAACGTGTGCATTTTGAGAGATGGGTGAGAAGCTGAAGAAAATTAGAACAAGTCCACAAGAGCCAAAATATGACCTTGAGTGTATCCCACCTGAATTTAGAGACCATCTTCTAATCTGATGTTGGCCACAAGGCAGGACGCTTTTATTCAGCTGCTAAAGACACTGAGCAACTTTTACCTCCAGATGTTTGACTGTGGAAGAAGTCTGCTGGCCAAATGGTCTCCACTGCAACTACTCATCTCTGCCACCGTATCACAAACGCAGCCATAGTCAATGAGTAAAAGGATAAGCACGTTTGTGTTCCAACAAAACTTTATTTATGGACACTGAAATTTGAATTTCCTATAATTTTCATGTGTCATGAAATATTTTTTAATTTTTTTCAAACATTTAACATACAAACTATTCTTAAGTTGTGAGCCATGCAAAAAGAGGCAGAGGGCCAGAACTGGCCCACAGGCTGTAGTTCGGTTGTCATCACCTGGCCATGTCTAGCCACAAAGGAGGCTGGGAAATATAGTCTGAAACTGTGGGGCATATGCCCATGAAGAGGGGAGACCATATTGTAGTATGGCAAACAACTCTCTGTTACACACCCCCAGACTAGTTCTTAGGAGATCTGTTAGCATAAGTGTCCTGATTTACTTCACAGAAGATTGCCTGAGAGCTACTACTTAGTTCTACAGCCCCTTGGTTCTAATTTTATTTTAATTATGTCTCTTACATTTTCTCAGTTAAAAGATTACAGCTGTGTGAGATAAAGTGATCTACAGGCAGTTCCCAGATTATGAACAAATTCCTTTCCTAACTGTATTTAAGTCGAATTTGTACATAAATCAGAACCTAATATCTAATATCAGTTAGTCAAATGTTTGTCTTAGTATACAGTATACAGTGTACCTTTCTAGGCATAAAGACATTAAAGAACACTTCCAGATACACTAAAACATCTTTAACATAATAAAGTTGTTAGGTGCTGTTGAGTTGGTTGTGACTCATAGTGACCCCATGTACAACAAAATAAAATACTCTCCAGTCCTGCACCATCCTCTCAATCTTTGTTATATTTGAGCCCATTGTTGCAGCTACTGCATCAATCCATCTCACTGAGGGTCTTCCTCTTTTTCGTTGACCCTCTACCAAGCACTATGCCCTTCTCAAGGGACTGGATCCTCCTGATAACATGTCCAAAGTGAGTGAGACGAGGTCTCTCCATCCTTGCTTCTAAGGAGCATTCTGGCTGTATTTCTTCCAAGACAGATTTGTTTGTTCTTCTGGCAGTCCATGGTATAGTCAATATTCTTTGCCAACACCATAATTCAAACATACCAATTCTACTTGGGTCTTCCTTATTCATTGTCCAGCTTTCACATGCCTATGAGGCAATTGAAAATACCATGGCTTTGGTCAGGCGCACCTTAGTTCTCAAAGTGACATCTTTGCTTTTCAACACTTTAAAGAGGTCTTTTGCAGCAGATTTGCCCAATGCAATACATCATTTGATTTCTTGACTGTTGCTTTCATGGGCGTTGATTGTGGAACTAAGTAAAATGAAATCCTTGACAACTTCATTATTTTCTCTGTTTATGATGATGCTGCCTATTGGTCCAGTTGTGAGGATTTTCGTTTTATTTGTGTTGAAGTGTAATCCATACTGAAGACTGTGATCTTTGATCTTCATCAGTAAGCACTTCAAGTCCTCTTCACTTTCAGCAAGCAAGGTTGCGTCCTCTACATAAAGAGTCTTCCTCCAATCCTGATGCCGAGTTCTTCTTCATATAGTCCAGCTTCTCGGATTATTTGCTAAACATACAGATTGAATAAATATGGTGAAAGGATACAACCCTAACACTTTGCCTGACTTTAAATCACTCAGTATCCCATTGTTCTGTTTGAACAACTGCCTCTTGGTCTATATACAGACTCCTCATGAACACAATTAAGTGTTCTGGAATTCCCATTCTTCACAATGTTATCCATAATTTGTTATAATCCACAC